GGGCGGTAAGCCCATGCCCCACCCCGCCAACACCGCCAGCCGCTGCCACCTGAGTGAGTGCTCAGCCCAGCCGGGGGAATGGCCATCCTGGAGGCCTCTCTCTGCCTGCCCCTGGACGGGCAGCAGAGGAAGCCAAAGTGCAGGTTTCTCCAGCTGAACTCCTTAGTTCGGTTGCAGGAGTTCAGTCCCAGTGCCCTGGCTGAACAGCCCAGTCCTGCCCTGAGGGTGGTTGGGTGACAGGGGTACATCTGTAAGGGCCCATGACTTAGTAGAAACAATCAGCAGCCAGATATAGTGCTCTTTCCAGCCAGAGCCTGAGCTCCTGCCTTAGCTGAGCCTCCTGGGCACGCTGGGAAAGGACAACAGGCTCCTCAGGCTCTGTTACTTCTGCTTGCCAGAGTGCCCAGAGGGATGGTTTGGGCTGAGCTGTCGGCATCAGTGTCAGTGTGAGAACGGGGCTGCCTGTGACCACGTCAGTGGGGCCTGTACCTGCAGCCCAGGCTGGAGAGGGACCTTCTGCCAGCTCGGTGAGTTCCTGTGCTGGGACCCCCGGGCCACCTGCTCCCTGCCAGTGGGGTCTGTGCTCCTTGTCTGACTTTGCTATCCCATACCAAAGAGAATCCCCCAGAATGGCATGTCTGCAAGCTGCCAAGTCTCTGGGTTTAATTCTGAAGGGAGAAGGTGTAGGAAAAAGAAAAAAACACTAACAAAATGTCAACAAGAAGTGACCACAGCTGATTTGGTCACCATGTGTGTGCACACGTTGTACACAGGGTCTCAGGGCAGCAAGAGGGTCCCTGTGTGCAGGGTTCTGGCTCCCACACCAGTTTGCTCAGTCACTTGGTGGCCAGAAACCGAGTGTCACTGCTCTTCTGGTGCCTTGTCCTGTACCTGGACTGTCCACAATGGACAGGCAGCCTGTGCTCTGCTGCCGTGCTGAGGGGCAGCCTTTACCAGGTGCCTGTCCCACTGGTGCAGCTTGATATCGGCAATAAAGGCCACCAGGAGGCATCTCTTCTCTGCTGGGAGATTTTAATCTCTCTCTAGGCATTTTGTGGGGATTTATCTTTTGTTTTCCACAGCCTGTCCCGAGGGATTTTATGGACTGGAGTGCCAGGAATCCTGCAACTGCCTGAACGGCGCCCGCTGTGACCCTGTGACGGGCCAGTGCCACTGTCCCCCCGGCTGGGTTGGCCCCCAGTGTGGCCAGGGTGGGTGTTGAGTGGGGTTCTTGGTGGCCAGGGAGGGGCTGGGATGGGATAGAGCAAGGCCAGATGCTTGGGTGTCTGTTCCCTGTTAGTTCTGCGCAGCAGAGGAGGATTTGGGTTTGGAGGGGGCTCTGGGTGGGATGTTGTTGAACATAATGAGGGCTTGGGAGCAGTTTCCAAATAGATGGAATGATGTGGCTGGCACTGAGGGCAGCGGGGTGTGTGGCTGTTTGGATCTCAGCCCAGTACAACACAGCTTTACCCCCCCCAGCACCCCAACTTCCACAGCCCCCCCAAACAGCCCCCACCCGTGTCCGTTCCTCTCCCAGACAAGTGCCGGGGGGGTGTTAGCAGGGTCTGGCTGATGCCCACCATACCTGCTGCCCTCCATGCCTGCTGCCTAACACTTCTGCCTCCTTCTGCTCCCACCGAAGCGTGCCAGGAGAACAGGTACGGCGAGAACTGCACCCAGACCTGCCGCTGCTTCAACAACGCCTCCTGCAGCCCCGTCAGCGGCCGCTGCCTCTGCAGCGCCGGGGGGACGGGACCCACCTGCCAGGAAGGTAGGACACCTGAGGGTGGCTTCTGTCCCCCACCTCTGCCTGCCAGCCTGACAAATGCTGCTTCTCGGGGCGGCTGGAGTTTTCAGGAGAGTAGCAGCTACAGAAAGCTGAGGCATCTCAGCAGCGAGGCCGGATTGCAGCTAAGCTTGTGCAGCGCTCCCAGGTGCTTTCCCAGGGAGAAGCCAAGAGTTTGCCTTCTCCAGGAGCACCAGGAATCAGACTCACTTATTTTTGTGGCAGCACATACAGTAACAGCTTGATCCTGCACTGCACCAAGCGTTCAGAGCCAGGGATGCCTGCAGGCACAGCTCCGTGGAGCTGTGCACATGACAACAATTATTCATGTGCTTAAATGGCTTTTTTCTCCGCCAAGCACTGGCACTGCCCGGGTCTAGGAGAGGAGGCTGTTCTGCAGCTCACAACTAAAGCACTTGGCCACCAGCTGAGGAGCTTTCCTGGCTGCTGAACTCACCCATCCTTTTTTCTTTGGTGGTTTTGCCACCATCATGGCTAAGAAGCCCCCAAAGAGGCACCCAGCACTCTGTGCCATGGGTGCCTCTGGGAACACCCAATGTCCTTACGTGGGCAGCTGGGCAGCCCCAGTGTCTTGTTGGCTCCTGTCCCACCTCCCGTTGCAAGTGATAATAGCTCCCTTTCATACCAGTCTATCCCCCTATCCCTCTGGCAGGCTACTGGGGGGTGGTTGCCCCCAGAGCTGTGTTCTCACGGGGGTGTTTGCCCCAGAGCTGTGTTCTCACCGCGGTGTTTGCCCCCAGAGCTGTGTTCTCACCGCGGTGTTTGCCCCCAGAGCTGTGTTCTCACCGCGGTGTTTGCCCCCAGAGCTGTGTTCTCACCGCGGTGTTTGCCCCCAGAGCTGTGTTCTCACCGGGATATTTGCCCCAGCGCTGTGTTCTCACCGGGGTGTTTGCTCTTCCCGCAGCCTGCCCGGTGGGTTTCTATGGGGAGAGCTGCCTCCAGCGCTGCCTCTGCCAGAACGGGGGCACTTGTGAGCCCGTCCCC